TTAAAAGGGGGTTAATTCAAACATTGGGTCATGTCCTCCCTTTTTCTTTTCAAGGTGGGGGTTCCATGGCTTAGGTCAGGATTCAAACCCAGCTCTCCAGAGTCCTAGTCAGAGGTTCAGGGGCTACACTGTCCCTCAGCTAGACTTAAACTTACCTACACCGCTGGTCACTGGGACTTGAATTCCCCGTTGTTGTTGTTGTGTCCCTTCAAGTTGTTTCTGACTTATGGAAACCCTTAGGCAGTGAACCTCTCATAGGGTTTTCTTGGCGAGGTTTGTTCAGAGGAGGTTTGCCATTGCCTTCCCCTGAGGAGGCTGAGAGTGTGTGACTTGCCCAAGGTCACCCAGTGGGTTTCCATGGCCAAGCTGGGATTCGAACCTTGGTCACCAGAGTCGGAGGCTGCATCCACACACTGTTGAAGTAGTAATCACATCCTTTTCAGACACAGTCACACTTTTTCCTTCCCCCACCTACGAAAAAAGCCTCTCTTCTTTTTGCAAAACTGAGGTGGGGAAACTGGGGCAGGCCTCTGGGTGGTGACCTGGTTTAGCTGAGGTTTCCTGTCAGATGGAGTCAGCACAGCCAGCCGGCAATGACTGGGGACAAGCCTGGGTGTCCTCCTTTTCCAGGACATGGTCCTCCATCCATCTCAGCCTTCTTGTCCAGGAGGGATTCCAAAATGACCTCCATTTGGAGCATGACTGAGAAAGATGACATCTACATTTCTAGGGATGTAGCTTTTATTGGGTCATGTCCTCCCTTTTTCTTGAATGTCCTACATTTTGCAGTGCCCTGGCCTCCTTTCTAGTCAGGACAGATTGACCAGACATCCTCCTTGTCCAGAACAGGTCCTCCATTTCAACCTTCTGTCCAGGAAGAATTCCAAAATGTCCTCCATTTAAAGCATGAATTTACATTTCATGAGTGTTTTGAGCTTTTATTTGGTCATGTCCTTCCTCTTTTTCGAATGTCCTACATTTTGCAGTGCCTTGTCCGCATTTGTTGTTTGCACAAGTTGACCAGGTGTCTTCCTTTTCCAGGACAGGTCCTACATTTCAACCTTCTGTCCAGGAGGAATTCCAAAATGTCCTCCATTTAAAGCATTAATTTACATTTCTATGAATGTTCTGACCTTTTATTGGGTAATAGCCTCCCTTTTTCTACATTTTGCAGTGCCTTGTCCTCTTCTAGTGACCAGACACCCTCCTTTTCCAGGACACGTCCTCCATTTCAACCTTCGGTCCAGGAGAATTTCCAAAAGGTCCTCCATTTGGAGCAGAACTAAGCATGAGACAGTGTGGTGTAGTGGTTTGAATGTTGGCCTACGATTCTGGAGACCAGGGTTCAAATCTCTGCTTGGCCATGGAAGCCCACTGGGTGAACTTGGGCAAGTCACACTCTCTCAGCCTCAGAGGATGGCAATGGCAAACCTCCTCTGAACAAATCTTGTCAAGAAAAACCCAGGATAGGGTTGCCATAAGTCAGAAACGACTTGAAGGCACACAACAACAAGAAGCATGAAGTTATATTTCTATGGACTTTATCACACAGGGGAAATCCCGTGTAGAAACAGGGTTTTAAATTGGGAAAAGAACACAAAAGCTGGTAGATTTTCACACGACATTGTTGTTAAACTATTATTAACTCGAACGGAAAGTAGTCAAAAACCGTGTTGTTTTTTTTACTTTCGAAAAATCCCAAAAGTAAAAAGGAGCAATTTTTAACTACTTTCTGTTTGGGATAATAACAGTAATGACGTGTGCGAAAATCAACCTGCTTTTGTGGGGTTTCCCCAGCTTTTAAATCCCATTTCTGCACAGGATTTCTCCCATGTGGTAAAGTCCTGTAAGTGTTTTGAGCTTTTATTTGGGAATGTTCTCCCTTTATTGAATGGCCTCCATTTTGTGGTGCTGTGTCTTCCTTTGTGGTGAGGACATCTGGCCACTCTGCGAGGAGGGAAGCAAGCAAGCAAGACCCAACTGAGAACTTGAGATCCTTGTCAGGAGGAGCCAGTTTGCCTGGCCCCACTTCGCACCCACACCCAATTCTCTCTCTCACGAATGATGCCATTATGGGTGTGGGAAGTGGCTGCACCCTCAGGGCACAGATAGTGAGGAAACCAGGTCGTTTCCAAGGCAAACCACGAAGCCCGCAGGTGGCAATAGCCCTGCTGCCTTGTTGTTGTTAACCACCCTGGCATCAGTCTTGACCCATGGCGACCCTTTGGATGAGACATCTCCAAGACCCCCTGTCCTCCACTGCAACCCCTTAATACAGTCGTACCTCTACTTATGAATGCTTCATCTTACGAAAAATT